TACAGGGCACCCTGCACGAGGAGATCTGGCTGCGCCGCCCACCTGGCTTCACTGGGTCGTTCCCTCCTGGTACCCAGTGGAGCCTCCGGCGGCCAGTCTACGGTCTCCGCCAGGCGCCCCGTGAGTGGCACGACACACTGAGGACTACTCTTGCTGCTCTTGGGTTTGCTCCTTCTACTGCTGACCCGTCGCTGTTTCTATGCACCGACACCACTCTGCCGCCGTTCTACGTTCTCGTGTACGTAGACGACTTGGTCTTTGCTACTGCTGACACTGAGGCACTCGCCCACGTGAAGTCGGAGCTGCAGAAGAGACACACGTGCACAGACCTGGGTGAGCTGACAAGCTATCTTGGCTTGCGGATCACCCGGGACAGAGCACAGCGCACCATCACCTTGACTCAGTCACACATGGTGCAGCAGGTCCTTCAGCGCTTCCGCTTCACGTACTCCTCGCCTCAGCCCACTCCTCTGCCTACCGGTCACTCGCTCTCAGCTCTGCCTTCGGATGAGTCCGTAGAGCCGAGTGGCCCGTATCCAGAGCTTGTGGGCTGCCTCATGTACCTGATGACCTGCACTCGACCTGACCTAGCCTACCCTCTTAGCATCCTAGCACGCTATGTCGCTCCTGGCCGTCACCGGAAGGAGCACATGGATGCCGCTAAGAGGGTGTTGCGCTACTTGTGCAGTACGTCGGGCATGGGGCTTGTGCTTGGAGGACGGCGTGACGTTGTCCTCACTGGACACTCAGACGCTTCTTGGGCTGACGACCAGGCTACTCAGCGGTCGTCTCAGGGTTACACCTTCAGCCTTGGCTCTGGCTCAGTTTCTTGGCGTTCTACTCGCTCTTCCTCTGTTCTCAGCTCCAGTTGTGAGGCTGAGATCTACGCCACAGCCATGGCTGCCCAGGAGCTTCGCTGGCTCACCTACCTGCTGACCGACCTGGGAGAGCGGCCTCGTTCTCCTCCAGTGCTGTACGTCGACAACAAGGCCGCCCTTGCCTTGTGTCAGGAGCACAGACTGGAGCACAGAACGAAGCACATCGCTCTGCGCTACTTCCTTGCTCGAGAGCTGCAGCAGCGTGGTCAGCTTCGTCTTTCGTACGTGGCCACTCGGGCCAACACTGCTGATGTGTTCACCAAGGCGCTTCAGCCTTGTGATCATCAGCGTTTCTGTACTGTTCTAGGCCTTGTGCCTACTGTCCCTCACTTGCTCACTTCTTGACTCTGCTTGTATTGTGATCTCTATATATATACCTGCATGCTTACACTTGCTAGGTTGTGATCACTGTACCTCTTGTTTCTTATCAAACTGCATGTGAACTGGTCTTGTGACCGCTTGCTTGTGCTCGAAATTTGTGTGGTATCCTTGAGATCCACCCTGAGCTTTGCTTTGCTTTGCTTTGCTTTGACTGGTCTTGTGACCATCTGGTTGTCTCCCACTTAGCCTATGGGGGTGTGTCAAACATTGTATGTTTACTTTGTGTAGGCTATAGTGGGTTTAGCCTTAGGGGGTACAGCAAACTTAGGGTTTCCTACTTGTACCCACCTTTCTGCTAGTTTCATCATTCTCGTTCAGCTCAACATTCTAACAGAAGTCATCACCGACGCCTCAGATTTCGCCATCGAAGCTGTACTCCTCCAGGATTTCGGAGACGGGCTGCAGCCGATTGCCTACGAATCACGCAAGCTGCAGTCTGCCGAGCGCAACTACCCGATACACGACAAGGAGATGCTCGCAATTATACATGCGTTCAAACTATGGCGCTGCTACTTGGTGGGCGCCGACGTCACTGTTCGCACGGACCACAAGTCCCTACAGTATCTGCGAGCTCAACCCAACCTCAACCCTGGCTCGATTACATGGAGAGCCACTTCACCTACCGCATCACGTACAAGAAAGGGGCGAATAACATCGCCGACGCCCTTACCCGACCAACAGTTCAATCCGCTGCATTACTCATCACCCACTCGAACCCACTACTTACGGGACTATTCACCCACGGCTACACTACGGACCCGTACTTCACGACTGGAAATCACCAGCAGGCAACGAAGAAAAAGGGGAACTATTACCTAAAGGCCGGAACTGACCGGATTTGGGTTCCCGCATACCGGCTGCTGCGTGAACTCCTTATCCAAGAGGTCCACGATTCAAACCTCTCCGGACATTTCGGGGTTGATAAAACCCAGAAACTGTTGCACCGTCAATATTACTGGCCTGACTCCTCTAACGACGTGCAGCGATATGTGTCCTCATGCAGGGTGTGCCAAGCCATGAAATCGACAAGACAGCGGCCAGCTGGATTGCTGCAACCACTGGAGCCACCCGAGCGACCATGGCAACAGGTGACGATGGATTTCGTCACAGGGCTACCAGCTGGGCCGTCCGGAAACGACGCGGTAATCGTCGTCGTCGATCGCTTCACGAAGATGGCACACTTCGCACCGTGTCGTACAACAATCACAGCCGAAGAAACTGCGCGCCTCTTTATCTCAACCGTCGTGCGACTGCACGGAATCCCGTCAGCGATCGTTAGCGACAGGGACCCAAAGTTCACTTCAAGATTTTGGAAGGAAACGTGGGCGCAGTACGGCACAAAGCTACAGTTTTCATCGGCATACCATCCGCAAACCGACGGACAGACCGAACGAACGAATCAGACGATGGAGCAGCTGATCAGGACAAACTGCCCCGACCCAACTCGCTGGGAGATGTCACTCGCCATGCTGGAGTTCGCGTTCAACAACGCACCGTCTAGCACGACTAATCACTCCCCGTTCTTCCTAAATTACGGGATGGACCCGGTGGTACCAACCACCACGACACTCGACAACCCGGTCCCACGGTCACAAACATTTGTGACAGAACTACAGGAGATCCGCGAGAAAGCAGCCGACGCTATTCGCAAGGCGAATATTACTGCCCGGAAATACTCGGATCTTCTACGATGAGAAGTCGTCATGACGCCTGGGCAACTAGTGCTACTTGACAAAAAAAACCTACGCCTGCCCGGCTCGAACAAACTACGGCCACGATTTTGTGGGCCTTTCCGCATCATCCAGATGGTGACACCTGTCACGGCGAAGCTGCTACTACCCGACGACTGGCGTATTGTCAGAGGTCCACTGGTGATCCCCGATTGATCCTAGGGAAGGGTTACATGCATGTTGGCCTGGGGGGTTATGGGCGCACTGACCCGCTACTTAACAAGCCCTTTTATCCCAATGGTCTAGTGGTTGGGATTCTGACACGTATACACGACGCCTTCCATGTCAGCCTCCTTCGCAACTTCGTACCTGCCACGACAGACATCGCGCGCCAGAACACCGCCCCGACAGCTCGACCTGTCCCGGAACCGACCACCGACCCCTCGAAGATTCTCGGACATCGGATCCGGCTCAACGCCACTGGACGCCACGTGGACTTTCTAGTCCGATGGACGGACCGCACCAGTGAGGATGACACGTGGGTGCCATCCGCATCGCTTGAAGCTTCCCCGCTTCTTGGTGATTATTTCGCCCCCAAGCGAGTTGCGGATATTGACCACCTTGCTTAAAGGGGGGGGGTAGTGTAAGGATTTTTCCCTTATCCTTACCGGGGTTGACTGCTACGCGTACAACCCCGATTTTCGGACTTGCACGTTCGGCCGACATCAACGATACCGAGGCTCCTCCGCGTCACCTTCGGCTTTCCGTCGCCAAATCTGCAACCCAACCTCGTTTCCCGAGGTTCCCTCCTAGATAGGGTATTCACTATATAGTCGTGTGCCTTCATTGTAATCGGCAGTTCATTAAGTCACAGCTTCGCTATTCGTTATTCCGCGCACTCTCCATTACAACTCATAACAACTCATAATTCAATGTAACTCACCAGACGGACCTCCCACACTCCCTTGACACAACAGATCTGCGTGGATAACCTTTTCGGGAAGCGGGGGATTGGGGGGGGGGAGCGGGGAAAACCCTTTCCTTTTCAGCCGACGGCTGGCTGTTTCTTCAGATTTCCCACCATCAGAAGCACTGGTTTTGAAGCAGCGGTAGCATAGCAGCCATTAATTTCTCTTGTGAAACGGTTTTCTTTTCAGAACATCACCGACCAGCAATGCTGGAAGGCTTGTACATATCTTACTAAATCTCTCGCCTAGTTCTTCTCACTAAAGTTTGCTAATCCGTTTTCGTTTCCCGTGGATTCTGATTAGTTCCACGTGAAGGTTCGCCCTGCATTTTTTACGTCTCCGTTGATGCAGCAGCTGTCATGTCGGAGGATCTATTTTCGGAAATCGAGCAGCTTGCTCCTCAATTCGCCGATGGGAAACTTGAATCCTTAGATCCACTCCAGCGAATAATCTCTGATCTTCTATTAAAGTCCAAGGACCGGACATGGCTGGAGAGCGACGCAGACGTCGCCGGCGGGATCGCCGTTACTCGATTGATCAACCTTCTTCCTGATTTTTCTCGGCATTGTCCCGAGCTGTACGGTCTTCAACGATCCAGCGACGTATCTGGACCGTCGGCTGCTGACGGATCTCAGGGATCCGCATCTTCCAGCTTCATTGACCGGCTTTCCACTGATTGGTCGATTTCCGTAGATCCAGATCTACGTGAGCCGTCAGCATCAACATCAACGGCTACTATTTCTGCATCTGAAGCCATCGATGCTCGAGGATCAAGTGGTGTCGCTTCCGCGCAACCCGCAATTCGACCGTTGGTGCTAGTCCTTCGAGTTATTCGGAACCTGCTCGCAGGCCTCGCCACGAATCAAAACGCGTTTCTACAATGCGGTGCTCTGGACGCGGTAGCTACTATCGCGGACCGGCTTATATCGAGTCACATCGTCCTCCAAACCCCGCTGCCAGGCGCCGCTCCTTCCGGCGGAAATCTCGCTGCAGCAAGCGGTATCGCGAATGTCTCTGCAGCACCTGCTGCGGATCAACTAGCATCAGGATCTAACGCTCCAGTCAACGGTGAAGACTCGAGCCAAGTTGCTTCTCAACTTGCAATGCTTAAAGTGGGTAGCGGAGCTGCTTCAGGCGCAGCGTCTTCGGGCAGCACAGCCGACGGGCTTTCGTCTTCAAGGCCCGCATCTGCTTCCGCTTCCGCCTCCGCCACGGGTTCCTCGGCCGCGCCTTCCGCGCGCATGCTCAACCGTCCCCCCGCCTTAGCGACTTCCGCGGGGGGAGCTTCCGCCAACGCAGCCCATCGGCGGAAGCGGTCCATAAACAGAAAGGGCACCGGAACGCTCTCTCTTCCCCTCCTCTCCCCTTCCGCCGCGTCGTTCGGCGCTCTCCCCAGCGCGGCTTCCCCCGCGGGCGGCGCAGCGGCTTTCGCTCAAGGCTCGCAGATGGCGGGAGGAGGATCGGGTAACCCGATGACCCCCATGTCGCCCATGTTCTACTCGTCACTGCTGCCGCCTGCTTCGCCGTCCGTGCTGCATCTGGCGCTGCAGATCGACCTGCCGCGAGACCACGTGGATGCCTTGAAGGCCGTGCTCCAGGTGAGTACCTCTGCTCTCTCACGCTCTTCTCGCCTCTCTTACCACCCGCCCCAACCCCCCACCCTCGCTCGCCCCACGCCTCTTTCTTCCCCTTCCCCCTACCCCCCCCCCCCCCCCCCTCCCCTCCTCCCCCCCACCCACGTCTTCCTTCCCCTTCCTCGATCTCCCCCTCACTTCTCTTAAGAATGATGCATCTTATAAAGTGATACCGTCTCAACTCTTTTTTTCTTCGATGTCTTGATGCATCTGACTAAAGCGGCTGGCTCGTCTCATGCCACGCACGCCTATACGCGGATGCTAAATTGAATTTAAGTGGACCCATTGGCACGAACGGGTGCTTACTTATCCGTGCACCTGACTTCTTTGACTAAGGGGCCTCACATCCGCTATATAATCGACCCTTATGTTGCATTCTCATTGCCAGCACGATCCTATTCTACACGTTGCTCCACTCGTATTCGCTATTCCGCCTCCCTCCGCCTCCATTCCCGTTTCTCTCGTCCCTTCTCTCTCCCATGTCTCCTTCTCACCTGATACCCCCCTGTCCTGTCCTGTCTCTACCCGAACCCCCCATGTCCTATCCGCACCCGTCCGCGTGTGGCCGCATCCGCAGGTCATCGGCAACTTCGCCAACGCGGGCGAGCTGCATCAAACAGCCGTGTGGGACCGGTGCTTCCCCGGCACCTTCTCCCGCCTCGCGACTGTGCGCTCCCCTGCGGTGCAGCGGCCGCTCTGCATGGTGCTCTTCACGTGCTGCCGCGCCGTGCCCAAGCACGTCGACGGGCTGGGCGGGTCCATGGACGGCGTTGCGCTGCTCGCGGGCGCGCTTAGGGCCCAGGGGGAGGCGCTCGTTGCGCGCGCGGAGGGGCGGGACGGCGGCAGCGGCGGGGATGTCTTCTCAGGTATGCGTTGTACTGTGCTATTGAGCATTTAACCGTCGGAAGTAGTCCTTTTCCGCCATTTCTTGCCCCTCGTTTCCCATTATTTCCCGCTTTTTCGTCGTCCTTGCCTCTGCTCATCCTTGTTGATCTTCTCTCCCTTCTTATCATGGTACCTTCTCATAGAATTTTTGGCTTCTGTCTTATGTACTCATTACCTCCCTCCTACCTTCTTCGCACCCGTTCCACTGCTCGCCCTTCTTGCTCAGCTCTCCCGGACGCTACCTCCAACGGAATGGACGAGTGGCTGGGTCTGCTGGTGGAGCGGATCTGCCTGCGCGCGCGCTACTTTGAGCCAGTTTTCAAGAACCTTCCCAACTTCTCGCCGCGCCCTGCCCTCGGGCAGGTCCGAGGGCTTTTCTGCCCGGAACAAGCCGCGCTGCTCTGGGTTCTATGGGGCTCTCTTCACGCCACTGCAAAGGCACGGGGCATCCCAGGCATCGACCTTCCTTCTGCTTCTAATGAGGATGATGGGAACTCCAAGGGCGACAAGGCATCAAACGAGCCTGCAGTGCCTGGGTCAAGGTGGCAGGTGCATGGGCTGCCTGATATAGGACCAGGGACCCTCAAGTTCCTTCTGACGGCATGCAGGAACGCAGCAGCGGGTCTGGGCAAGGCACGGGAGGAGGCTGGCAGCAAGGCGCTCACCTCCTCTTCCACCTCCTTCACGTGTCTGCAACTGGTGCTCTGCTTCTCCCTCCGCTGCCTCCGCGTTCTCGCTGCCCAACAGCCCTCCTCCACCTCCCATCCAGCTCCCACTGCTCAGGACTCCTCATCCACATCCCCACCCGATGCTGCTGACGCCACCTCTGGAGAAGCCTCAGCCGCAACAGAACATACCACGGATTCGAAATCAACGGCCGAGGATGCGTTTGTTGCGATCGGAGGGTCTGAGATTATCCCGCTGCTGCTGGATCTCCTCCAGGGGCTGAGTGTGAGTGTGCCTGGAAGTCAAAGCACCCAAAGTAAGGAGGAAGCATATCCAGGGTATCGATCTGACTTGGTGTCGGTGCTTGCAAACACGTGTCACCGCCGGCCCGAGTATCAAGATGCTGTCAGATTGTATAAATGTACAGTGGGGGGAGGGGGAACAGATGGAAATGTGTCTGGCCTTGTGATGGTTTTGGGACAGAAAACGGCAGAGTCGGGTGGGGAAAGTGGCGGCACTAAGGAATGGGTGGGGTATGCGGTGAGGTGTCTGGTGGAAGGGAATGAGAGCAACAGGAGGGACCTTGCAGCAGCAGTGCAGGCAGGCACAGTTTCCCAAGAGATGTTGGAAGCTGCTGGGGTGAGATGTTAGGCTTGTAGGATGTGGCTCCCCCAGGTCTAATTAACTGATATCTACTGTATCTATCAGTCAGTCATTGCCCTTGTGAATCTGGATTGACCTATTTTAAATCGATCTTTGATATAGATCCTCTGAAACACGGACAGATGTCCTACAAACTCAACCACTCTATACCGAGGATGGATCAGTCAAAGTTCGAGTCTGAATCGCATTCTGCATCAGCATGTCAGTAGACCATCCCATAGTCGCCCCACCCTCCGCTAATGGGATGTTCTATGCTCCCATGTCAACTAGAAAATACGAGCAAGTACCTATCGGCTAGAACGTCTCCCTTTTCCGTCCTTCACAATCCCCTCCGTCCTCTCCCAGTGGGACTTGGGAACCTCTCGCCGGCCTCCCGCCTCTCGCAATGCCGTACGTTCCTCCTCATCGCCGAGCCGCCGCGAACAGCTCCGCAGCCGAACCTGCTGCTCCGTCGGCGGCAGCGCCAAACCTAGGTTATCGAAGCTCGGGAGTAGGTTCGGAAATTAGGTTCGGGGGAAGAGGCCGAGGCAGAGATCGCACCTATCAGGCTGGAGGGCGAGGCAATGAACCCGCGATAAAGAAGATTTCGATAAAGAGCTCTCCTGATACTGTTAGCTGCACCCTAGTTGACGATTTCGCCGAGCGAAGTTCTTCCGTAACGGGAGGCCCGTGCAGTGCCGAATGTGGTTGTAACGGGGGCCGAGCTCGCTGTAATCGGATGGTGCTCAGATTCCAGCAGTTTCAAGATAGTTCTCAACAGCGCGACTGGGATCAAAATCTCGCTATCCTAGCACGGGTTCCAGAAACCGAGCCTGACTATAATGAATCACCTGCAGACTCTGCATCCCCCTCCGTATCAAATCCCATCTCTGATCCGCCCTCTGATTCGCCATCTGATTCCCGGACCTCTAATCCACCCAGCTCCTCCTCACCCCTCTCCACCGCTCCCACAACCTCCTTATCCGACAACCTAGTAGGCCTTCTAGCCAGGGCACTAGAGGCCGCTCACAGGGACATACAGCTCGTGCCAGAGCTTGGGAGGAGAAGGACGAGAGTGGTGGAGCGGTGCAAGCTCATGGTGAAGCTGGGGAAGCTGCTGCTATCCCCGTCTTGGAAGTCCTCAGTACCCGTGTAAGTTTCTTGTGATATTTCCCCCTTAGGTACAGTGTGAGTCCTTTGATGTGCGTATTCCTTTCCCTCAAGGTACCTTGATGTGAAAGGGCGAAGGCCGAGAGTGGTGGAGTGATGCAAGCTGATGGTGAAGCTTGGAAAGCTGCTGCTGCTATCCCCGTCTTGGAAGTCCTCAGTACCCGAGTGAGTCTCTAGATGTGAAAGACAATGGACGGCTTAATTTCCAGTTTAAGCTGTTCCATTTGCGTCCACATTTCCCCGCTGCTGCAAGGAGAAGCCATCCCCCATCTCCCTCCTTGATCTACCAACCCCTCCTCCATTCCACTCCTCTTTCCCCTTATCCGCCCTCCCTTTTCCCGTCCCCTCACCATGCTTCCTCCCGTTCAGCTCCCTCCTTAGCCTCCCACCCTACCCTCCCTCCCTAGCCTCCGTCCTTTCACAGCAGACGTGTTTGAGTCACACGTCAACTCGCCCGCACGCTGCCAACCAGTGCCTCTCTTTCACCGCCTCCCCACCCCCCCTTAACTCCCATCAGCTCCCACCCCTCTCTTCTTCATTTTAGATCTTCCCCTCACCCCATCCCCATTTCCCGTGCTTCTCTCCCCTCCCATCAGCTCCCTCCCGGGCGTCCCTCCCTTCACAGCAGGCGCGTTTGAGTCGCACGTCAACAGACACGCCTCCCGCCTGCCTGTTCCTGTTTTTCGATCATAGGACACAGGCCTCCCAGGGACCCCCTTTGATGCACTGGCACGGATGATGAACGCTTAATACTAGGAGCGGCCTCTCTGCCTCTCTGCCTCCCAGGCACCCTCTTTGATGCACTGGCAGGCAGGGATGATGAATGCTCAATACTAGGAGCGGCCTCTCTGCCTTATCTGAGAAATCCATTCCCCATGCTCCCCTTTCCCCCCACCCTACCTTCCACCCACCAGATCCCTCCTGAGCCTCCCACCCTTCACAGCAGGCGCGTTTGAGTCGCACGTCAACAGGCTCGCCTCCCGCCTTCCCGTGCCTGTTTTCCGATCCTATGGCACGGGCCTGCCAGAGAACCTCTTTCATGCACGGGCGGGGATGGCAAGAGAGGGGGGGATGGTGAACAAGGAGAACCTCTTTCATACAAGGAGCGCTCGCACTACCGTATTAGGGTAACTCATTCCCCATGCTCCCCCTCCCCCCCTCCCTCCCCTCCCTTCCACCCACCAGATCCCTCCCAAGCCTCCCGCCCTTCACAGCAGGCGCCTTTGAGTCGCACGTCAACAGGCACGCTTCCCGCCTTCCCGTGCCTGTTTTCCGATCCTACGACACAGGCTTGCCAGAGGCCCTGTTTGCTGCAGTGGAAGATATAGCAGCAGAGGGAGGCGCTGTGAACATGCGATACAAGGATCAATCTCGCTATCACATCTGGGTAATGACTGGGTAGGTTGTGACTGTTTAGTCAACTTTAAAGTCACCTCTGTAAGTATGCTATCGCGTCTGCGTACCCACAACCTGTATCGCGTCAACAAGGGGTAATATGTTGTACTCACTCTCTACCCCCTTCTTCTCCTCTCACTGCTGCCGCTTGTTTGTAACAGATAGCAGATACCGAGTTGGATATCGAGTACAAGGTCATCTGTGTGCCTGACCCTGACAACTCTGGAATTATCCTCACTAAGGTGTGCCTCAATAACATGCTTATGTCAAAGCTCTGTTGTTGTTTTAATATTTCCTTGAGAGAGAGTCTAGGCACGAATGCCCTTTATCTCAACCACCCGCATGGCTCGTTGGAAACGCCTTGGAAACGCATCCCTTCTTCCCACGGTGCTCTGCCTTGGAAACGCCCTGCCCCGTTTGAATCACGACTCGCTGTGCCATGCAGCCATCAACATCACCCACCCCTCCAGAACCATTGACTTGCGCCCCTGCCGCTCCTGCACTCCCTTGCCCTGCACCCCCCCAGGTGAAGCACAATTCACTGCGCTATGCAGTCGTTGACATTGCTCGCCCCTCCAAAGCCATTGACTTCCGCCTGCTGCTGCTGAAGGAATCGAGGCTCTGCTCCCTCGATGTGAGCGTGATGGCACCACATGGGCAGTGCTTGTATTGCATGTAATTTTGCCACATGTCCGTGTGCCACTCGTGCGTGTCTGTATCACGTCCGCCTGCTGCTGCTGAGAAAATCGAGGCTCTGCTCCCTTGATGTGCGTATGTGCTGCTGATAAATCTGAGGCCAACACCCCTTTTCCGTGAACTTTGCATGTGTCGTTCCTGCATTACCTCCCTTTCTTTCCTCACATCCCTTTCTCTCTCCTCATCTCTTTCTTTGCTCACATCCCTCCTCTTCACATCCCCCTTCACAACCCGCCTCCTCACAGACCTCCTTCTTGCATCCCTGCTCCTCGCATCCCTCCTCGCATCCCTCCTCTGTTTCCCCTCTCTACTTCTATCCATCAGGATGCCACCCGGTCCGCCTGTGAGCTCATAGCATCCACCGCAATCATCGATGGGACTGCAAGAGGAACCTCCACGCAGGCATAACAGCCCTGGCCATGCACCTCCTCTGGTTCGATCTCACCCTCCTCCCTCCTCTCACCTTCCCCCGTTCTGCCTTCCTCAGGAGGCCACTCGGTTCGCCTGTGAGAGCATAGCATCCACAGCAGTCATCGACAGGAGTGCAAGAGGGGGCCTGCTCTGGCCAGACACCACCCCTGGCTTCGATCTCACCCTCCCCCTCCCACTGCTCCCCTGCCCCCTTCACTCCTCCTCAGGACGCCACTCGGTCTGCGTGTGAGCTCATAACATCTACAGCAGTCATCGACAGGAGTGCAAGAGGGGGCCTGCTCTGGCCAGACATCACCACTGGCTTCGATACCACCCTTCTCTCCTCGTCCTCAGCGTCAGCATCACCATCACCACCATCAGCAGCAGCAACAGCACCCACTTCCGCTCCTGCTCCTTCCTCACAATCAGTCTCATCCTCGCCGCCACCCACTCGCTTCAGAGTCATGGGCTGTTGGCATCTGGACAAGTCCCGGGCGGAGTCGGGTGGACGTTTGTGGAAGCTGGCGCGGATAAACGGGTTGGTGGCGGGGCAGGTTGGGAGCAGCCTGAAGCACCAGATCGACCTGTGCCCCTTGGCATGGCGGGAGACAACCAAGGTGGGATGGTTGAACGGTATGCATGGTGCACGTGTCTGGCTTTGAGGTGTAATGTGGTCCAGCGTGGTGGAAGCTGGCTCGCATCAGCAGGTTGGGAGCAGCCTCAAGCACCAGATTGACCTGTGCCCCCTGGCATGGCGGGAAACGACCAAGGTGGGATGTGGGGAGCAGCTTAAACAGGTTGGGATGTGGTTTTGAGGTTGGGAGCAGCCTGAAGCACCAGATTGACCTTTGCCCCTTGGCGTGGCGGGAAACAACCAAGGTGGGATGTGGGGGCTGTTTTATAGCTCTCAGGTTGAACGGCCCTTTGTACTCTCGGTGCAAAGCTTCTGGGCTGGCAACTTTTGAGACGTCTCAAAAGTCGTCTACTCTCGGTGCAAAGCTTCTGGGCTGGTACCTGTTACGCGTCTTTTGATGCCAATGAGTTTCCTGGTGTTTTTTTCCCTCCCTCTTGACGTTTGCTTGTGTTTTGAATGCAGGGTCATGAAGGCCCAAGCAACAGCACGAGTAGTTCACCCGTAGCCTACTCGGCGGCATCTTGCTTCGACTCGAGCTTGCAGCAGGCAGCACCACAGTGGACTCCAGACAGCATTCTTGCCGATTGCCCCGCCCTCATTAACTGGCTGCAGGAGCACTTGCCTTGACATTTGGAGGAGTGTGGGCTTGCGTTAACGTGCATGTTTTATATCTGATGTTTGTTTCACTGGTTAGAATCTCGGGGTTGTAATGATTGCATGTGAGCAACCTTGTGTGTGCTTCTCAATGATGCCCCCCAGAAGCTGCTAGGACAATAAGCATGGTGCACGATGGGATTAGCTCTTGTATTTACTGAACGATGGCAAGCTTCGTACAGTAGCGGGTCCGGTTCCAATGGTATCGGCAAGATGACTCCTAGGTGTCACCACCATTCGAGAATCCCACCCTTGGTTTTTTTCCCGCCACAACCCACCTTGGTTTTTTTCGCCATGTCGCCTATATGTCCCACCACCATTCGACATTCCCAGCCTCCCATGTCTCCCATAATGCTGCCTGAGCCGCTCTTCCAAGCTGTGGAGAGCATTGTTATGGCGGGGGGATAGAGCACACACAGGTACGTGAGGTGTGAGGGGAGTGGTTGTGTATGGAGGGTATGTGCTGTGCTGGTCGCTGGAAACAGGCATGCCAGAGCCGTGCTTTCAAGCTGTGGAGAGAATTCTTATGGCGGGGGACGGGGCGAGCACATGCATGAGAGAGGCGTACCACATACGGGTACGTGTCATGAGCCAGCCATGCCAGCCATGCCAGCCATGCCAGCCATGCCACGTAGGTAGATACTCTGTATTTGGCAGGTCGGCAACATATGACTTACGGGACGAACATATGACTAATGGGATTGCAGTGAGACAGTAATGAAAATAGAGCATCCTTGAAATCTTCACCACGCACTTGTCTTTGTTCGTCTGCTGCACCCTTCGTTCCCCGTATTGCCAGCCATGCCACGTAGGTACTCTGTATTTGACAGGTCAGCAACATACCGGTATGACTTAGGGGACGAACATATGACGCACTTGTCTTTGTTCGTCTGCTGCACCCTTCGTTCCCCGTATTGCCGATCCGTTATACGTAACAGACACAGACCCGAAGGCTTTCGAGTACAGGCTGACGTGCAAGCCTAATCCGGATGGCTCAGGGGTTATCCTCGTTAAGGTGTGCTTCTTTTTTGGTGTGCTTTTTCTTGGTGCGCTTCCTCCTGCTCAAGTGACCATGGAGTCCATCAAGTGTGCTTATATGTTTCATACCTCCTTATAAGCCTCTTCTGTACGCCCATCAGTTCCCACCCCATCAGTTTCCACCCCATCAGTTACCCCATCAGTTCCCACCCCATCAGTTCTCACCCCATCAGTTTCCACCCCATCAGTCTCCACCCCATCAGTTTCCCTCCCCATCAGTTTCCACCCCATCAGTTTCCCCATCAGTTGCCCCATCAGTTTCCCCATCAGTTTCAACCCCATCAGTTTCCCATCAATTTCCCCATCAGTTTCCCCATCAGTTTTCCCATCAGTTTCCCCATCAGTTTCCCCATCAGTTTCCCCATCAGTTTCCACCCCATCAGTCTCCCCATCAGTTTCCCCATCAGTTTCCCCATCCGTTTCCCCATCAGTTTCCCCATCAGTTTCCACCCCATCAGTTTCCACCGCATCAGTTTCCCCATCAGTTTCCACCCCATCAGTTTCCCCATCAGTTTCCACCCCATCTGTCTCCCCATCAGTTTCCCCATCAGTTTCCTCATCAGTTTCCCCATCAGTTTCCCCATCAGTTTCCCCATCAGTTTCCACCCCATCAGTCTCCCCATCAGTTTCCCCATCAGTTTCCTCATCAGTTTCCCCATCAGTTTCCCCATCAGTTTCCCCATCCGTTTCCCCATCAGTTTCCCCATCAGTTTCCATCCCATCAGTTTCCACCGCATCAGTTTCCCCATCAGTTTCCACCCCATCAGTTTCCCCATCAGTTTCCACCCCATCAGTTTCCCCATCAGTTTCCCCATCAGTTTCCCCATCAGTTTCCCCATCAGTTTCCACCCCATCTGTCTCCCCATCAGTTTCCCCATCAGTTTCCTCATCAGATTCCCCATCAGTTTCCCCATCAGTTTCCCCATCAGTTTCCCCATCAGTTTCCCCATCAGTTTCCACCCCATCAGTCTCCCCATCAGTTTCCCCATCAGTTTCCTCATCAGATTCCCCATCAGTTTCCACCCATCAGTTTCCCCATCAGTTTCCCCATCAGTTTCCCCATCAGTTTCCCCATCAGTTTCCCCATCAGTTTCCACCCCATCAGTCTCCCCATCAGTTTCCCCATCAGTTTCCTCATCAGTTTCCCCATCAGTTTCCCCATCAGTTTCCCCATCCGTTTCCCCATCAGTTTCCCCATCAGTTTCCATCCCATCAGTTTCCACCGCATCAGTTTCCCCATCAGTTTCCACCCCATCAGTTTCCCCATCAGTTTCCACCCCATCAGTTTCCCCATCAGTTTCCCCATCAGTTTCCCCATCAGTTTCCCCATCAGTTTCCACCCCATCTGTCTCCCCATCAGTTTCCCCATCAGTTCCCCCATCAGTTTCCCCATCAGTTTCCTCATCAGTTTCCCCATCAGTTTCCACCCATCAGTTTCCCCATCAGTTTCCCCATCAGTTTCCCATCAGTTTCCACCCCATCAGTTTCCACCCCATCGGTTTCCCCATCAGTTTCCCCATCAGTTTCCCCATCAGTTTCCACCCCATCAGTTTCCCCATCAGTTTCCCCATTAGTTTCCCCATCAGTTTCCACCCCATCAGTTTCCCCATCAGTTTCTCCATCAGTTTCCCCATCAGTTTCCACCCCATCAGTTTCCCCATCAGTTTCCCCATCAGTTTCCACCCCATCAGTTTCCACCCCATCAGTTTCCACCCCATCAGTTTCCCCATCAGTTTCCCCATCAGTTTCAACCCCATCAGTTTCCACCCCATCAGTTTCCCCATCAGTTTCCCCATCAGTTTCCACCCCATCAGTTTCCCCATCAGTTTCCCCATCAGTTTCCACCCCATCAGTTTCCCCATCAGTTTCCCCATCAGTTTCCCCATCAGTTTCCACCCCATCAGTTTCCACCCCATCAGTCTCCCCATCAGTTCCCCCATCAGTTTCCCCATCAGTTTCCACCCATCAGTTTCCACCCCATCAGTCTCCCCATCAGTTCCCCCATCAGTTTCCCCATCAGTTTCCCCATCAGTTTCCATCCCATCAGTTTCCACCCTATCAGTTTCCCCATCAGTTTCCATCCCATCAGTTTCCACCCCATCAGTTTCCCCATCAGTTTCTCCATCAGTTTCCCCATCAGTTTCCACCCCATCAGTTTCCCCATCAGTTTCCCCATCAGTTTCCACCCATCAGTTTCCCCATCAGTTTCCCCATCAGTTCCCCCATCAGTTTCCCATCAGTTTCCCTATCAGTTTCCCCATCAGTTTCCCCATCAGTTTCCACCCCATCAGTTTCCCCATCAGTTTCTCCATCAGTTTCCCCATCAGTTTCCACCCCATCAGTTTCCCCATCAGTTTCCCCATCAGTTTGCACCCCATCAGTTTCCCCATCAGTTTCCACCCCATCAGTTTCCCCATCAGTTTCCACCCCATCAGTTTCCACCCCATCAGTTTCCCCATCAGTTTGCACCCCATCAGTTTCCCCATCAGTTGCCCCATCAGTTTCCCCATCAGTTTCCACCCCATCAGTTTCCACCCCATCAGTTTCCCCATCAGTTTCCACCCCATCAGTTTCCCCATCAGTTTCCCCATCAATTTCCCCATCAGTTTCCCCATCAGTTTTCCCATCAGTTTCCCCATCAGTTTCCCCATCAGTTTTCCCATCAGTTTCCACCCCATCAGTCTCCCCATCAGTTTCCCCATCAGTTTCCCCATCAGTTTCCCCATCAATTTCCACCCCATCAGTTTCCACCCCATCAGTTTCCCCATCAGTTTCCACCCCATCAGTTTCCCCATCAGTTTCCACCCCATCAGTCTCCCCATCAGTTTCCCCATCAGTTTCCCCATCAGTTTCCCCATCAGTTTCCACCCATCAGTTTCCCCATCAGTTTCCCCATCAGTTTCCCCATCAGTTTCCCCATCAGTTTCCCTATCAGTTTCCCCATCAGTTTCCCATCAGTTTCCACCCCATCAGTTTCCACCCCATCAGTTTCCCCATCAGTTTCCCCATCAGTTTCCACCCCATCAGTTTCCCCATCAATTTCCCCATCAGTTTCCCCATCAGTTTCCCCATCAGTTTCCACCGCATCAGTTTCCCCATCAGTTTCCACCCCATCAGTTTCCCCATCAGTTTCCACCCCATCAGTTTCCCCATCAGTTTCCCCATCAGTTTCCCCATCAGTTTCCACCCCATCAGTCTCCCCATCAGTTTCCGCATCAGTTTCCCCATCAGTTTCCACCCCATCAGTTTCCCCATCAATTTCCCCATCTTTTTCCCCAACAGTTTCCCCATCAGTTTCCACCCCATCAGTTTCCCCATCAGTTTCCACCCCATCAGTTTCCCCATCAGTTTCCACCCATCAGTTTCCCCATCAGTTTCCCCATCAGTTCCCCCATCAGTTTCCCCATCAGTTTCCCCATCAGTTTCCCCATCAGTTTCCCTATCAGTTTCCCCATCAGTTTCCCATCAGTTTCCACCCCATCAGTTTCCACCCCATCAGTTTCCCCATCAGTTTCCCCATCAGTTTCCACCCCATCAGTTTCCCCATCAATTTCCCCATCAGTTTCCCCATCAGTTTCCCCATCACTTTCCACCCCATCAGTTTCCCCATCAGTTTCTCCATCAGTTTCCCCATCAGTTTCCACCCCATCAGTTTCCCCATCAGTTTCCCCATCAGTTTCCCCATCAGTTTCCACCCCAACAGTTTCCACCCCATCAGTTTCCCCATCAGTTTCCACCCCATCAGTTTCCACCCCATCAGTTTCCCCATCAGTTTCCCCATCAGATTCCACCCCATGAGTTTCCCCATCAGTTTCCACCCCATCAGTTTCCCCATCAGTTTCCCCATCAGTTTCCACCCCATCAGTTTCCCCATCAGTTTCTCCATCAGTTTCCCCATCAGTTTCCACCCCATCAGTTTCCCCATCAGTTTCCCC